AAGAAGTTCTATTTGACTGCAGCAGCAGGAACATGCAGAAACCACATCCTACATAGAGTTGACCAGAATACAGAGAGTTTGGGCCAGAACCTCAAGACAATATAACCTTCAAGGCCTTCCATTGGTAATCAACGTTTTCTAGTGAGGCAAAACTCACCCAAAATAGTACAATCAGTTTAAGACTGGGTGGTGAAGCACCCAGATTTTAGAGGCCATTTTATATTCACAAGATAATGCTTTCTATCCATACTGCAGTAGACAATTACCCACAACTGCTAGGTTGCTTTGTATTTAATTTTCTGCTCTTTCACATTAACATAAGTGATGTTGCGTTTTTAATTTCAAATATCTGTTACTCATATACAAAGCAACTGGATTTCATATATTAATTTGTATACTATCATTATTTTGATTGTTTAGTCATTTAGCTACAGGAGATGTTTTTTCATAGTTTTTATCAGTTTATTTGGATTTTTGACATGCTTTTATATCAGCAAAAAGAAGGAAATTTTAAATCATTCTTCCTAAACTTCCTATATAGTAAATTGCAAATGTGTAAAGTTATCTTTCCACCAAGCAGCATGGCTATGAGTATTGATTTGAAAGTCATCTCAGTAACAAAGCTGACAAAAACAATTATATATGCAGACACAAAACAACTAGAATACTTGTAAACTATTTTGAAAGTAAAGTAACACAAACTCTTCAGAAAATATCTTAAAAATTTTCAGTCAAGCCTCACATATATGTAGCATCTAAGGAAACATTCTAAATGCATATATAAGTAGTCTATAAACATATACATTGTGTGCTCAAAGGAAATCACTAAGTCCATAACAAAATCTTGTATATTCACTGAAATGTCATGAATTGTAGTAAAAAAACAGACAAATAAGAAAATATTTACAAACAAATATCACTAATAAAGTATCCTCTGTCTGTTTGGTTGACAATAATATAACAAAGTTTGAATAATGATGAGTATATTCGAAAATAGTCCACTAAGTTTTACCTTCAGGTCAATAATGGAAGACCATTTTTAATACTTTCTAATAGCTTTATTTAATGGCTTATCAAGCCAAAAGAAATATGTACAATAGTGATTTCAGGACAAAAGTGGTGATATTTTTTCTTTTTTGTTTGAAAAAATAAAATTAACCTGGTTATTTACTTGATGTTTTTATCATCTACCATTTTATAAAGCCCATCTAGAAATGCAGAAAAGATTACTAAAATATTTTAAGCATTCTTTAAATAACCAAATAGGTTTGAGATTTATTTCTGCA